GGGATAAAATTACAACGAATTCTATAAAATTATGCCCGACTGGATAGGCTTTGTAACCAAATCACAACTCATTTTGTCAGCAAACTTGCAGTTAGAGATGCATTTGATGACTTTATACACTTATACATTTCATACGCTTTTTGCTTGATCGCATTTGATGACTTTATACACAACTTCTTGCAAGCTAAGATTGCTAATGTTGTACTAAAATTTCTAATCACATGAACTGACTTTTATTAATGAGTTAAGTAGACAACATTTTGATCAATATAACATATTTTGTTTTAGTTATGTATGCATACTACCTATGAAAGATTTTAATTCTATACAGATATAATCAATATAGAATAAAATTTATAATTAATATTCATACATCCTATCTTATATCAATATTATAGAATATAACAGTATAAATAGAACAAAAATGTATAAATGATAAACATTCATTTCTTCTTATTATTATCAATATTATGAATATGATTATAGATATATTTATTATAAATGTGATGTCATTACAAATTATAATGACATCACAAATATAAGATAGATCTTATATTTGTGATGTCATTATAATTTAAAATTAAAAATTTTAAAATTTAAAAAGTTATAGATCTATAACTTTTTAAATCTATAAATTTTTATATATCTTAATCTAAATGTAAACATGGACTTCTATAACCTTATATAAGGTTATAGAATCTTATATTTTTATATTTACTTTAAAATATATTATAATATATAATATATTATATTACCTTTTAATATATTACCTTCATTCAAAATAAATATAATTATATTTATTTTGAATGAAGGTAAATATAAGATTTTGTTATAAAAGAATTTTTATAATCTTTTTTCATCATATAAGAATTATTATAATTAATAGAAAAACTCACCATTGTAATTTATTATTTTTCAAATTTAATAAACAAGTTCCGATAAATTTTAAGTTCACTAAACTAGTTGCTATTAGAAGAACGCGCGTTGTTTTTAAATTTAAAACAAGGTTTAGAATTTAAACCTACTAAAACAACGCATGCGTCAAAAATTTCCTCAAGTCTTAGAGTCCGGCTAACGAGATGTTTCAAAATCATACTCTGCGAAACTCAAAATTTTTAACCAATCAAAACAGGGATCGATCTCAGGAAATAGCCGTTCGTGCTTTTTCTAATATCAGCCATTTTGTTTAGATGATAAAATTTAAATAGTTTGATGCGCTAAGAAAAAGTGTGCTAATAATAAGTATAAATAGACTTTCATTGGTTATTAAAAAAATATAACGTCACTTGTTGCTCATCTGATTTGCTTCTGACTTAGCATGTTTTGAAGCATTAACCCAAATTGACTTAACGTGTTTTGAAAACGTTTTGATATTTCCCTTAGCTGTTTTTAGGACTAAGAGCCTTTTAATAGAACTAATATTTAGTTAGACGATAGATTTCAGTATATAGATTATATAAATAAAATTACCTCAAAAAATTTTTTTTGGGAGTTTGCGCGTTTTGCTGACGGGCTTTTCACATTCCATTCCCCTTCGAGTTTTGGACCAATAAAAATAATAAATTAGAAAGACATTCTCTTCCTGTTATACATTGCTAACTTCCTGTTACACTTAATGTGTATACTTCTTTTTTTCACACTGCTATAGAAACTATATTTACAAGACTTTTTTTTGGAAATCAGAATTCATTTGAAATATAAGTACCATATTTACACTTTTAGAAAAAAAAATTAAAATATTTTTACTGATGTAATTCATTTATTATTGTTATATTTGTGTTTGATGTGTATTTTATTGAAAAGCTGTATTTAGGTTCAATTAAGTGTTTTATTTGTATAAATAAATTAAAATCAAAATGATAGCTCTGAAAAAACTCTAGCCCCCCCCCCTCCCAGATGGTGACACTTTAAAAATTAAAATTTTAACTTTTGCTTATTAATAAACTTGAGCAACATGTTGATTATGAAGCAACAACATTTGTATTTAGTAAAAAAAATAATATTAAACTTACGGCTGAAAAAGCTGACAGTTCAGATTTCTATTGTAGAAAATGCATTCCGCGTACAAATTGTACAAATTTTAATTTCCTATGCTATTTTTAAAAATGTTTCAAAAGGGGTGGAATTGCCCTATTTCGCACATTTTTTTGATTAAAAAACAAAATTCAATGTTTGTTGTTATAATTTTAATTTTTAAATTATGTTTGTTTATTTATGAAAATAAAAGAAGTTTGTTTAAATAATAAATGTTTTTCATTTTATATTGCTGTTTGCATGCATTTTTTTAAACTAGGGGTTGGAATTACCCCATCTTACTCTATATATTTTTGTTATTTAGGTGTCACAGAGCACCGCAGAAGTGCATTTGCTACTAAGTACTTTTTTTTTGTGTAAAATATATTATCCAAACTCTTCTTATTATACTTGGTATGGTTTCAACAGAGAAAATTTCATATAACCTCTACAGGGCTTTGTCTTAGAGCATATAGAAAACTTTATTCCCCAGTAATTCATGTTTTGTTGCTACTAACTTTTTTTTGATGTTTGAGCTAAGCAACTTTGAAAATGAAGAAAACTCCATATTTAAGTATGTTCATATATATGAGGAAGCTATGCAAAAAATTGCGGTGATTGGAGACTGGGAACAACAAAAACCCCAAAACATTAGCCCCCCCCCCATCCTAAATTAGGAGTACAATGAGTTAAATTTGTTAACTTTTTTTAATCTTGAATTTAATTTATATTAATCAACGAATTTCAAATTTGATTTAATAATCTCTTTTTGATCGGCTTTTATGACCTTATAAAGTTTACAGCCCTTTTTACTAAGTTATGCGTCAAACCATGGAAGTATAAAACACCACATTATAAATATAAAACACCACATTAAAATTCTTCGGGACTATGCTTGAAACCTTTTGTTTCGTAAACAATAAGAAAACGACATCAAGACTGTACATAAACGCTTAATCTTTATACGTTGACGCAAATAGGTATGTTTATAATAATTTAAAAATATAATATTTTCATGGTTCGCCAATAATATTCAAGAAAAACTTAAAAAATGGCGCAACGAAACGGCAGACAACAACTTTTTTATAAACTTCATATTAAATGAATGGAGAACTATAAAAATGAATGGAAATATGATATACATCTAATGAAACTTTAAACTTTGGTTATTTAGAATATGATTTTGATTTTTTAAAAATTGTTTTGTCTTTTTAATTAAATGTCGTGTTATGACTTGAAGCAAGAAAAGAGGCTTTAAACTAACATATACTTTTAAAATCACGAGGTTCTATTTAATTACCAAGTTTTAATAAACCTTTTGCTAAATAATTGCAATTACTAATGGTTAAAACTTTGCAGCATATAACTAGAATAATTCATTTTTTGATGTTTTAATAAAAATCATTTCAGTGAATTTTGTTGCTTTTTTGTCCAGTGAAACTTGTTTTTTTTTTTTTATTAACGTTTTGGGGTTTTTGTTGTTCTCCTAGTTTATAATCACCGCAATTTCGGCTTATATCATTTATTATAAAACTAAATAGGAATTTATAAAACCAAAAATGTTTCAAAAGAAAGAATTCAACTTTTTAGTCATTACTATCCAAGAGTTTCTAAAATTGGCAACGGTTGAGATAATGAATATATATATATATATATATATATATATATATATATATATATATATATATATATATATATATAGACACACACACAAAATCATCTGCAAAATCGACAAATTTAACTTAACTTTAGCTTAAATCTAAAAACTGTATTTATATCAGAGTGGCCTGGTGTGCCGCTCTTTGTCAAAAACATGTAAATTTTGTTGATCATGAATAAACCAAACGAACAATTATACGCATTTCATTATTACGAACTTCAACAACAGAACACAAAAACTTTTTTTTAAGATATTCCTTATTAAGCCAATTTCATTATATCTAATTTCCCTTGTATATCATATAGCCCTATCATAATGTTCCAATAACTTTTGTCTATATCAATAACTCTGTTACGATACCCATGTTTTTTGTGTTTTTAATTGTATTTTTCAAGTCAAAAGTAAGAACGCGATGCCCATTTGATTTAGGTTGAAGTAGCATGTAAAATTTTGAAATATATTTATATGAACTTTCTTTATTTAACAAATACATCTATATGAATCTACTTTATTAAAGAAATATTTTTATACAAATCTTCTTTATTAAACAACTTATTTACATAAATCTTCTTTATAAAAGAAATATACTTATAAGATCCGTTTATATTAATGATATACATTTATAAGAATCTTCTTTATAATATGTATGTATGTATGTATGTATGTATGTATGTATGTATGTATGTGAACAAATACATCTATATAAATCTTTATAAATAAATATAATTATATGAATTTTCTTTATTAAAGAAATATATTTATGCGAATCTTTTTAATCAAAGAAGCATATTTTTTTTAAAATCGCTTTTATGCAGGAAATATATATTTTTATGAACATGATTAATTGCATAAACATGCAGGTAGACCTTTGCAAAAAATGAAATGTTACCAAAATACATTGTATAACATATATATGTTATGCTTTATGCATTCGTGAACTACTATATCTAAAATATTTCAAAACAAAAAATGATACCATATACGATTTTATTTCCTTAAACCAAATAATAATAATAATAATAATAATAATAATAATAATAATAATAATAATAATAATAATAATAATAACAATAATAATAATAATAAAAGTAATAGTAATAAAAACTTGTTAACTTCAAAAAATTCACAAAGATTCACCTAATTTTTATTGAAGCTTTTAAAGGTTTGTACATAGTTTTAATGACATTGATTTAAGCAAAGTTTTTACAAGAGCCTTAAAAATATTTATTTAAACAATTTAAATAGTACTCTTTTTTTTTTTACAACTAATAGCAAGTGTTCACACGTTCGCAAATAAAACTACTTAATATTTAAAAAATTGAACGCTTGTGTCAATAAAATTTATTAGGTTACAAGTATAATAAATAGATTCTACAAAATAATCTACTAAATTAACCAAATAAAACAGCAAAAAGAAAATCATTAAAAACGTGCAATATTTTAAAAATACATTTATAAACTTTATAATAGTGAAGACATGTGTACACTACTTTGATTGACATAAAAATTAACGTAAATGCGTTACTTTGGCTGACGTAGTCACAGATCGTGATAACTTTATTACTTTTTTACTGACACTTTTTATTAGTTGCTCATTGCTAAGGCAACTTATAAAAATGTCACTACTTACCATAAAAGTTATGTGAACATTTTTTTATGACGCTTGAGATTCACCCTACACATGCAAAATAAATTCCTTATCCTTCTATTTTTTAGATTGAATCAATAACATTTATTAATATCGCAAAGGATTATTTCATTATGTAAACTGGAGTAAATTTAGATTTTTAAAACATTGGGGTCCATAACAACGTACTTATTTAAAACATTAAATACATTTATTTTCTAGCTGATTTAAAATAACTGCATAATAACCTTGTATTAAAATGATTTATCGAACATTTTAGATGAGATCATTTATTTAAACGGTTATAAAAAAATAGAACCACGTTTAGACTTACTTCAGGGATTGGATTCTTAAAATTGAAAAAATATTCTGATATATTTCAACTGCAAAATGCACTCCGGCATAACATAAACAAAGAACAAAATATCAGAGGTTGTACTGAATAACCAAAAGATGTACTGAAATAACCGGAAGTTGAACTAAAATAACCAACGGTAATTTCAGAACAGTACTGAAATTATTTTCAACAGTTTCTCTGCAAATTCATAAGCCAGATTCCAAAGCAAATCTAGACTATCGTATTTTAAAAGCTTTTCAAAACAGTTCTTAAGCTTGTGTGAAAATTTCATTTCAATTAGTGTTTGGAATACTTTCACATTTCTATTAACAAATCTTTTGGTTTACACTACTTTTTTGTGCAGTATTGAGTAGTTGAATACATATTTTTTGGCAGTTTTTTTTTCACTTAAAACATTATTTTGAACATTCTTGATTGCTCTTGCCATCTATTCAGATCCGGGATATTAACACACCTGAATGACTTGTGTCAGAAATATGTCAAAGCTGCGCTAAACTATCTGAATCAAAGGTACACAGAACACAAAAACAAGAAAGTAAAAAGGTGCAACAATGTTTAAAGGTGACGTTTTAAAATTGTTTGATATTGCAAAAATAGGATCTGACGACAGAAACACAGAGCGAAAAAAATCCGAAATTCCTTTGCGAAGAAAATATATTTTTACCTTATGTAAAAAATTATTATCTGTATATTATTTTATATAAGAACATCCTTTGTCTATACACATAATAATCTCAATAATTTTTTACATACTCATATATATCTTTTGCAAAGATATTCATACTTTGTAAATGAAACAAAAATCACTTCAAATAAATAGATAATTTAATGCATATTTTAAATATATTAAAGGAATTTATTGACAAGAAAACAAAATGTCAATTAATTCCTTTTAAAAAAAGGTCATTTGAAACATTTTAAATCAGTTCTAAATCCTGGTGACAAAAAATTGACACAAAATAAGCTCAAGTAGTAATAGTACAAACAAAAAATTAATACGTAATAGTAAACAATATAGTTATTTTCTAGTTTCGGGATTTAAATAATACTTTCTTGCGATTACGACATACTGCGTATACATGTTCACACATACGTTGTACAAGATTTTTATTAACTTTTCCTACACAATTATCATCAGTGATATTTGTTAATAAAAGGAATCAAACTGCAATAATTTTTATACACTCTTTGGTTAATTGCCAGTCCCGCAGAAACAAAAGGTTCAAAGATTCCACGAGGGGATATGGAAATCCATACAAGAATTTTTTTTTCAAATTTGCTTTAGCGCTTATATTTTACTGCTCTAACTGGTTAACAGTGCAACCAGGAATTTGTTATTTTTTTAAATAACAAATGTTTTTTTTTCCTAATGTTTTAAGATCACTTGAATTTCTTAGCAGTTTTTCTTGTTGAAGTTCGAGACCAGTTGTTCAAGGGATCTTTTAGACGGTTGATGTTCCTAACAGTCATAATTTTTGGTTTCCTGGTTTTCAGTTTTAATTGCTCAAAGATTTTGCCAAATTTTTGTCACCAGGAGGTTATATGATGATTTTTCATGGAATATTTTATTGATCATATAGATAATTTGAGATTTATTAGAAGACTGTGGACTTATTACAAAACTGTGGATTTTTACTTTAATAATAGTATTTTAAAATTTGCCATAAGTATATAATGATTAGGTAATCATTAGGAACAATTTAAAATAAAACACAAAAGAATATGTTTAAGCAGATTTTTAAACTATCTTAAAAGTTTTATAATTTCAAGATTAAAATATATATAATAATAATACTGACATAAACAAAAATTAAAAAAAAAAAAAAAAAATTCAACGAATTAATTAAACATTAAAGACCGTGTTAAAAGTGAAATAAGAAAACAGGAAAAGTCAAATAAAAGAGATTTTTGCAAAAAAAGAAAAAAAAAGTTTACAAAAAACAAAATTATTTCTTTGGCAGCAATTAAAAGTTAAAGACATTTTCTTTAAAAAAAATTTATAGGAGTGTTTAGAGGAGAAATCTCTTTTCTTTATTATCAGGGAAATTTGATGAATAAGAGGTGTGGCCACCCAGACTTGAAAAAAAAAAATTTACTCCAGTTTAATAATTTAATATTTAAAACTAAAGATTTTAGAACTCACCAATTTTAAATTAAAATAATTAAAATGAACACTTACTCTTCCACAAGAAGCAAATTGAGATTGCACTAATAAAATAATAATGTACAATATCATTTCAAACAAACCATTGTCAATATTGTCAATTATTAATACACTGTATTTTCAACAAATAATAAAATATATTAATTACTATACACCATATTGTCAAATATTAATACACTGTATTTTTAACTAATAATAAAACATATTAATTACGAATACACCATATTGTCAATTATTAATACACCCTATAATCTAATAGAAAAAATCATACAACTCTGAAAGTATGCCTGTTTGACAACTTCTCTTTCTGCTGCATCAAAATACCACAATGTGATGGCAAACCTTCAAGAAAAAAAATAATAAGCAAAAACACTAAATAGGGTAAAAACAGAAGCCTAAATAAAAAAATCAAAATAATATAGATTTTATTAAAGTATATTCTAGAAAATGGTAAACAATAACTGCTAAAGATTATTGGTGCAGAATAATGCAAATAAACGCTTTCACACTTTCACAACACTTTCTTCATATATATATATATATATATATATATATATATATATATATATATATATATATATATATATATATATATATATATATATATATATATATATATATATATATATATATATATATATATATATATATATATATATATATATATATAAAATTAATTATTAATGATGGAAACCCGCGTCGGTCGATAAAAATTATTTATATTGATTTTTAAATTATTTAAGTAAAAAAATATAACATGATTGTTATATTTTTTTAATAAAAAAAGAATATGTTTGCATTTTCGTAACCTTTTGAAATTGAAATAAACTTTTTGTTTAGAACTTTTGCGATCTTATATATATGCTCTTATTGTATACTATTTTAAAAATACATCAACAGTTTTAGTACATATAGACATAGTTGCACATTTTATTTCTATATTCGCTTATTAGTCTTTGTTTGAATGTTTAGTGAAATATTTTTATAAAAAAAAGATCTCATTATTAATGAAAATTATATACATTTATAAATATAAAAATATACATGTTAAAGACTTTAAATTACATACAGTTATCAATTAAAATAACTTATTTGCACTGTGGGCATTTTATTAATTCTATAATCCTCTTTAAATTATAAAACACTGTTTACACCAAAGTTGTACTTCAATGAAACCAAAACAAAAAAAAAACTGCAAGCTGCAGTGCAAAGGTATCTAGGGTTGAATTAAGCGATTGCGAATTGCGATATTCGGAAAAATATCTGGTCTTCAAATTTTTAATTTATGCAAAACCGTTTACTTTGTTTTCACAAGGGCGAACTAATATTGTATTCGGAAAAACACGCGTTAAGGCGGATTTCCACGTAACGAATTAATTCGCACGAAACGAATTTTTTTGTCGTTAAGATACGCAGATAAACATTTCTGTTAATTTTGACAGAAATTTTTTATCTGCGCATGCTTATCGACGAAAAAATTCGAATATTATATAAATATCCCTTGTATTCTTTCTAAATGCATTTATACTTGTATCATATTTCATTATGTATCATAGTCACAGAAATCGTTTAAATGCAGTTCATGAATGAACTGCATTTAAACGAATTACGCACGGAAGTCACGCACGGAAGTAGCGAATTTGTTCATTTCATGTAAAAATTTTTATGAAAATAATTTGCTTGTGAGTATTTTAAGTGAAATAATATATTTCTACAACTCATATTAAATATATTTTCGATGAGAAATAGCAGTCATCAAATATTTCTAACTAGAGTATAATGTTTTGAAATTTATTGTATACTTTTCAAACTACTGCGACATAAACACACACACACAAAAAAAAAATTATTACCTGAAATTATTCAGGTATATATAAAATATTTTTGTAAAATATAAAAATATTTTTGTTATAAGTGTTTTCTAAGAAAATCATAATAGTATGCATATTGCTTTAAGTCACAGCTTCTAATGGTTGAAACAATGAAAAATAAAAAACCACGCTCAGAAATGGAAATGTCCTATAGTGTTGTTACTATTAAAACACAGTTAGTAACTATAGTGTTATTACTTTTGTGTCGCAGAATTTTGTTTTGTTTTGCTTTTATAACTTTTTCGCTAATTTAAGTTTATTCGCTCCATGAAAACAAAGTACACGATTTAGCATAAACTGAAATTTTGAAGACCAGATATTTTCTAGATATCGCAATTTGCAATTCCTTGACGGCCGGTACCTAATTTGCTGGAATCATCAATAAAATTCTGGCCGGAACAAAAATTATAATTATGTAGTTTTTTACCTTCAAGATAGAAAGTAAAAGCCTGCACCTCAGCATCCAGGCTATATAATATATATTTATAACCTATAATATATATATATATATATATATATATATATATATATTATATATATATATATATATATATATATATATATATTTTAATTTAGGTGCCCCAAGAAATCCTTACGGTTTTATCACAGAGCACCACAGATGAGCATTTAATAGGAAGTTTACGCCTCCTTCCTAACCGTTGTCAAAAAAACTTCCCAGAATCGGGGTTGAACCACGATTTTGGGCAAGTTTTGTGAAAACACAAAACCACATTCTTTGTGTCTGAGGCAAGTGCGCTAGCACTGCGCCACGACTGCTAATTTTTAACTATTTAAAATTTAAGTAACATTTAAAATGAAACTATTCTCAGAGACAGGTAACATCTTTGATTAAAAAATAGCTAGTTTGTTAAAAAAAAAGAAGTGTTTTGTGACATTAAAAATCAGGCAAATATACCCCACATTCCAAAATAAAACTTTGATTAATTAACAAGACATTTGCAAATTGAAATGACTTAATCTATTTATGAGAAAAATATAAGGTTAGTATCATATTGATGAAAGGTAGATAAGGTTGTTATACATTAATTGTAACAATATTTCCCCTGAACTTAACATATATTGTGGTCTCTTAGGTATACCAACAATATGTCACTTTCTTTTTGTTAAGTGCTCATACACGTATATCTTTTGGTAAAATATCACGTGTAGACACTGTATGTACTGGTACTCGCAGAGTGTTTCAATTAATTTAAATTAAATAATTGCAAAAATTAAGTAAATTTTTAGATCAGTAAATTCTATACCATTCTAATAAAATTCTATACCATTCTAATAAAATTCTATACCATTTTAATAAAATTCTATACCATTCTAATACCATTAAATCAATCAGTAAATTATACATACATTCTAATAACATTTGAAAACTTTCAAAAATTAATAATTTCTATACCATTTTAATAAAATTTGAAAACTTTCAAAAATTAATAAATTTATGTTTGTTTTATTTTAACTTCATGCCTTGTTTAATTTGTTTGTTTAATTTTAACTTCATGTCTATTGATTGTTTTTTTGAGTTGTTTAAATTTAATGAGTTGAACAATTTAAAGTTCTTGAAAAAACTTGTTTATTCACATAGGAGATACCTGACAAAAGAAGATATGTTTATACAAAACACACAGCTCTTTTGCATATTTTTGTAAACACCCATGTGCTTAAAATATTGTCATTTGTTAAATGCCATAAATTAACAATCAAAAAAAAAAAAAAAATTCTTCATCAATTTACCTTTTTCTAAAAGCTGGAAGAACTTCATGTGGAGTACGTTTGTCAGACCAAAACAACAATAAACGATTGAAAATTGGTTCAATATTGACTCTCTCATTCATAGTATACAATCGCAACATTCCTCCATCTCTCTAAAAATAATATACTATAATAATATAAACTGATATAAAAAATTATTATTAAAAAAAAGTACCACCTATGACTATTGTGTGTGCATGTGTTTATTTATATATATATATATACCATTATCAAACTATGAGGTTTTATATTTATTAATAAAATGGAACCATGACATACTTTTGCGATTGGTATAATTTCTAGCATAAATTTATACCTTAAAAATTAAATTTATTAATTACCAAAATATAACAGGTTAATTGTGAGACTATTTAAAGTAAAATTAGAAATTTGTAATAAGGTACTCTACCCATGGGGTACCTTGATACAAACTATGAGCATCATTAAAAAATTAAATGAAAAGTATAAAACACAGAGAAAATTTTTTATCTGAAAGACAAACAGATTAATAATTATAACCCAAACAATGAACTCAATGGTCCAAATCACATTTCAGAAATCAATATAATATATCCTTTTAAATGTCATTCTTAAGCGTCAATAAATAATGGGTTTGTATTAAAATTGAATCTCCGAGTATTATATTTACATAAATCTGCTCAAAATTGACTATAAATATTAAAAGAAATGATTTTTATGACACAATGGAGTATTTTACATTTTTAGGCTTCCCTCGCAATCGCTGTATCAAGTTACTCGATACATGCTAATAGAAAACAATTGCTTTATTTTTAATATTAATTTATTTTTTCAATAATTTTGTTTAATGAAGTAAAGAGCCTATGGGCTATAAAAATAATGTTACTTACCTATAGACACATTAAATACCTTGAAACTTATGAACTATAATAACTTAAATTACTTTGTCGTCAAAAAAAACACACAAATTTTGACCCCTCGCAGGCAAATAATATAATTTTTTTTCAAAACATTGCTCTAATGGTAAATGTTTCAACATATGAAAGTGGTTGTCACAACTCTTAAGATGTCTCCACAGTTACATGTTTGTATGTATCATGGTGGGGTACTCTCCCCTACTTAAATCTGCATTAACTTAACATTTTAATTATTGATATTCATTATAAAAACTATATACTATAAATAAAACTAAATTGATAAAGTTAATTTAATATTTTTTGATTATTTTTGTATTTAGATACAGATTTATAATTTCCCCTATTTTTATACACTGGCATCGGAGCGGAAACACCCCCCCCCATTTCTGTTTCACCATCCCCCCAACTTTCTTGACCTTCCAATACCACATAAGTTGTTTTTATAGATACAAAATGATTTGCAACAGGAAACTGCAAAAGATGTTGATTGCAGTTTTTGTGTCTTAATATTGTCAAGAAGCAATCTTAAAGAAGAATATTCTCATTTCATGGACTTTTTAATCACATAAACCTCCTTATTTTACTATTTTCAATCACAAGAATCTTTTTTAAATTTTAATTAAAAAAAAAATTGATTCACCTAAAAATAAAGAAGATGCCAAAGATAAAGAATTTATTTTAAATGCATTAATAATATCGTAGTTATTACTTCTCGCATTTTTTGTCATTTGCGATTACAATTAATTCATACAAATTCATAATTTTATAAATTTAGCTAAATAGAGTACTTAATTATTTAGTAATACAAAACTATTTTAATCAAAAACAGAAATATACACAAATGATCTAGTAATGCTATCCAGTATTTAAATCAGAAATTTATGTTTTTTAGATAAAATGGTAAATTTGAAAAACATTTTAAAATCTTGGATGAGCAGCTAGGATTTTAATTTCAACAGATTTGTGATGTATAAACAAAGTTCTTAAATGATGCGGAACAGTTTTCGTTGATATTTTTATTGAACTTGAATTTGTTGAGGGCCACTGTGCAAAATAGGAAACTAAAATAAATTGAAATAGAAAAAAATTAATAACTAAATTTATCTGTGTACTGTTTTTATTTTTGTTTTTTTAGGATGCTTGTAATTAAATTTAGTATTTTAAAGGATTTTTTTTTGTGATACATACTTGTTACATTAACATTTATCATTACTAACCGGACTGGATAACCAGTTACTTTAGTGGAACACATACAGTCATAGAAGCCTCAGGGAAGAGGGAAAAAGGTTTATGTTAGAGTAAGAGTTAGCTAAAAACTATAAAAAGATGTTGAACAGATGTTCAGTATAAAAACAAAAAATTCAAGCAAAGATTTATTATTAATAATTGTTTACGTTTAACATTTCATTAATAACATGGTTGACAAAAAGAGAGGGGGTGGGTAGAACTAAGGGAACTTAGTTCTACCCACCCCGTGTATCCAAAAACAGTTATCCAAAATTACAAAGTGCTAGATTGGGGATAAAAACATAAAGGAATAGAAAGGTAATATGAAACAATTAAGGCTATGTGAAATAGTGCAGACAGCAATTTAAAATGTGTAGACAGCATGGCATAACTGAAGCTTAAAAACTATGCATATGTGTGTGGGCCTTACTTAAAAAATAAAATCTATGTTTTTGAATGTAAAGAGATCATTCAAAAACATACAACACAAAGAATTTCTACAAAAAAGATAAATCTTTACAAAGCAAATATATGAGCAGCGAAATTTAAGAGATGAAATGAAAACTTGATAGTAGTGGGATTTGAAGTTGTTTAATTAAAAAAACTTTTTCGTGGGCAAACTGGAGGGAAAACCGCACAAATCTCCTAGGAAGGCATGGATCCCCCAATTCAATTGTAGGTAAGCAGGTCCTAAAGGTTATCAAGGTCTTTATAAGAAATGCCAACCTCATACTGGCACTCAATTTGGTATCATGTAAAAATTAGTCAATATAAGCACTAACATTAAACTATTATTTTTGTCTAAAAATATTCTGAGTTTTTTATTTTGGCTCACTTAGTTTTGGGAATAATAACAAAAATAATTTTAAAACAGGTTAATGCCAGGATAAGGTTTTAAAACAGGTTAATGTCAGGAAGAGGTTTTAAAACAGGTTAATGCCAGAATGAGGTTTTAAAACAGCTTAATGCAAGGACGAGGTTTTAAAACAGGTTAACACCAAGATGAGGTTTTAAAACAGGTTAATGCCAGGATGAGGTTTTAAAATGACAACTTAAATATAAACAGTTTTTTTTAAAGTTTTTTTTGCTTTAATGAATATTCTTCATATCTATATCAAACCTGCAAACCCAAATCATTTTTTAAAATTCTTTTCCTATTTCTTCCTTTAAATTAAAGGAATCCAATATTTAATATTACAGAAAACTACATCATATAATTATATGACATTTTATACAATTACAATAACAAACATAATAAACATAAACCATAATGGACATTTTTTACCTTGAATATATTTGATTAACATTTAAGCTTTTAATCATAAAAACCTTAGGAAACCTTGGAAAACCTTAGTAAACCTTAGTAAACCTTAGTAAACCTTAGTAAACCTTAGTAAACCTTAGGAAACCTTAGAAAACCTTAGGTGCTCATTTAAAAAAATTCCTTTTTTTAATTCTTTAACTCTTTAAACTGTTTTGTTATCTATTTTTACAGTCAGTAAAATTTAGGAACAAATAAAAATGTAAAAAAGTCAACTTTTTTTTACATAAAATTACTTAAAATGCTAAAATAACAAAATAAATACCCAAAAAATGTCTGTTTTTTTCATATCATTTTAGAAATGTTAAATATTTTTCTTAATGTTATAGATCTGTAAAGAAAAAGTGTTATATGTAACAAATAATTTATTAAACAAGTGTGTTACAAAAATATGCTAAAGATTCTAGATGAAAAAAAAAATATGCTGTCCTGATGAAAGAAGTAATAATATTAATCATTACTAGAAACATGTAATTTAAGTACTTCACAATCCCATTGTTCATTGAGATAATACAAACATGTTATGATCCGGCCATCTTTTCTAGCATTGTCAACATGACACTTGTAATGAGATCCATTTCCAGGATAACATGCTACCATTGCCTAAAATTTTATAAAGATAATAGTAATAGTAATAACAGAATGAACCAATTAAAATACTGAATTGACTAAAACACTAAACTGAGTTGCATAATTTTTATTAATAATATAACAGACAGATTAATTTACAAAAAAATGTCAAGTAACTTTACTGTTAATTTACAAAAAATGTAAATTTTTTTATAAAATATTTACAATTCTCCATCTCAGTTTTATATTTTATATAATCTTTTAATTTTGAAAATTTATTTGAAATTATTATTTAAAATTTGTGAATTTAATCAAAATGACATCTTCAAAACAACAAAAAATCAACAAGTGGAATGTTGTGTTTTTTTTTTTGAGGTTATTTAGGCTCTTTAAGAAATAGTTATGATCATAGAACACCTCCTTACTTACTAAGTATGCATATATGGGCAGAGCCAGCTACAAGAAACCAGAACTCTAAATACAACATCATTGGTACGCAATGTATGTTTAAGTGTGTATTTAATAGTGAATGCCAAACAAAATACTCTTTTGGTGAATTAATTCAGTGTCAGTATGCTTGAATGAATCTAATTCAGTAAATTAAGAATGTTAATATAATTAAAGAAGGCACTATGATTCAAAACATTAAAAAACTTATAATCAGTTTGTCAACAGAAAAAATAGCAAAACCACAACAGAAACTTTTGCTAGCTATGAAGTAAGCTTTCTTTTAAGCTAAAAATTGTAAAATATTCAATGATGGGGAAACTATTAAGAAATCTCTTTAAATTGTGTTCAAAAATATTTGTCCTCAATAGTTTAAAATTTTCAATAATATCTTGTTTTCAAGATAATCAATTACACAAAGAACAGATGGTATTGCTGATAACTTAAGTTTGTTATCGGCTAAAAGAATAAAAGCATTTCAGTATTACTTGATAGCTATTGATAAATCAAGCAATATATAACAAACTGCTCAATTGGCTATTTTTATTCATAGTATTGATAAAAATTTTCTTGTTACTAAAGAACTACTTGACGCCCTATGCAATGTAGAACAAAAGGTAGAACAACAGGAGAAACATTTTGCAGGCTATTAAGAAAGTTTAAAAAAAAATTTAACTTGACTTACAATAGATTAATTTCAATTACAACAGATGGTTGCAGCTCAATGATTGAAAAAAAATATTGGTATTGCTTCCAAAATATAATTTAACAACAAAGACCATGGATGCAGAAAATTTTATGTTTTTAGTAGTTAAAACAATAAAGAGCATTTTATGTTATATTAATTTATTTTAGATTTGAAAACAAGACAAAGTAACTAAAGTTGAAAAAAATACAAAGGTTTCTCATGAATATTTTCTTGCTTTGCTTAGCAACAAGATAAAAAAAGTAAAACAGGTCAGGTTATCCTGCTACTGGTAACATGTAACCCAGTACAAACTGCTTCATGTCCTGCTGCCTTGTAGGATACGCTTTTTAAGGCAAAGGCTAAGAAAAGTCAACTCCAACTTAAAACACCCCCTGCCTTGGGGCTCTTGTTTAAGTAAATGCTAGAGATGGTGTCGCGATAAAAATACTCATCTTGGGCAGATGCTAAAGACATCTGGTTACTGTCTTGTAGAAGCACTTCTAGGCAAAGACTTAAGGGGTAAACAAATTCTATCTGTTTTCCAGCCTCGTACCCCTTCTTCATCTATTAGGCTGGTGCAGATGTACTTTTAATGCATAGTTTCCAGTTTAGGATGTTGAAGGCTGGATCTTCTTGACTAAATTTATGGGTTTTACTTGTGTCTCTGTTTTTATGACTAGGCAAATCATTCTATTATCTCCTAATGAGATTACAGCTCTAAAACTCAGTTTAATGGTTCTGAGGCCGGCTAGTAATCAGGTTTCCTGAATTCTGTGGTAGCTCTCAGATAGGCTGATTCCATCAACAGCTGAAAAATATGAGAATACTAACAGTGCCATGTTGCACATGGATGATGTTCCTGTTCGTACTTTTGGTTTGCATTGTTAAGGCCACATTTGGAGCACTTTGTTATAGCTTATGGTTTATTAATAGTAATGAGGCAATTGCTTGGACTGTTAAATAATGTACTGAGTACTATCTATGCTTTGAGTCAAGTTCTTTAAAAAACACAAAAAACCATTGTCATCACTAAGTTCTCTAAAACATTCACTACTAATCATTCACTAATATTTGTGGTTTTTGAAGTAACTTTTCTTCTGTTGAGTCTTATCTCTTACAAAGTTCACCAGACCTATTTGCTCTTTGTGAGATTAATTTGAGTTCAGCTGTCTCATCTCGCGATCTTATTGTTGATGGTTATCTTCATTTAATTAGTTAAGACTCCAATAGTCACATGCTTGGCCTGGGCATTTACATTTTTAAGAATTTAAACCTATTAATAACCTATTTGTAAAAATAACCTATTCGATATTAATATATAAATAACAATATTCGAACATTTTTGACACAAGTAAGTATACACATTGTTCCAACCAAATTCACATACTCAGTTTTTACAATAGCAAGAAGAGGAGCTGCCACAAATTATACAAAAATGTTGGGCTGGAAAAATTATTTTAAACAATAAAAAGTAATTTTTTTACAAATTAATTTTTATTATTTTAAAATTCCACAAAAACAAATAAAAATAAGTAACACAAATTTAATAATTAATTTATATTTTATTCACAATTTCATTTTATTTGTAAAAATAATAAAATAATCAAAATTACTATGCTTTAATAATAAAACAAAATTGTAATTTTTTAAATTTAATTATATGTAAACATAAATATATTCACTTTCCCAAGGGCTTAGGTCTTGAAGATCAAATTATTGTTGGGAAACTAGGTTTGAATCTAGAGACTATTGTTTTATGTGCTTTTGTTTCACTTTACTTTCTCTTTCTTTGTCTTTCTTTTTGTTTTATATCACTCTCTTTCATCTCAAGACTGCACTCTTTTTGATGTTATTTCTGATCCTATTGACCAAGCTCTCTCTCTTTATCCATCAGCCAATTTTGTTGTTGTTGGTGACTTTATTGTCAATTACACTGAATGGCTTGACTCTGCTAGCATTAAGGCCCTCAACTTTTGCCTTTCTCAATCTCTAACTCAAAGAGCCAACCTTTCAACTCGCTTTCCACACAACCCAATCATTTGCCTTCTCTACTCGACTTTTATCTTGTTTCTGATCCTAGTCAGTGCTTAGTTTCTCCACATTCACCCTTAGGTGCTTCTGATCACGGTTTGATCTCTCTAAAACTATTATCTCATTCTTCATCATCATCAGAATCTCCCTATCATCGTACCTCTTACAACTACCTTAAAGCTGACTGGGACTCTTTCCGTGATTTTCTTCATGATGGCCCTTGGGTAGAAATCTTTCATAAAATGTAAAAGATCTATATATATAATTGTGGAACCAGGCTAATCATGGATTCAGGCTGGCATGGAATCTTTTATTTCCTCTCAATGATTCCAAGTCAAGCCTCACTTTTCTTCATGGTTTTCCTCGCATTGTGCTGCTGCAATTTACAATCAAAACCGTTACTTTCATGTCTATCAGCAAAACAATTCTCCAGAAAACAGACATTTATTACTGTTAGAAACCATTATAAAAAAGTTTTGTCTAACGCTAAAACTTGCTATTCTCAAGTCATAAAATCTCGCATTTTATCACAAAAATTAGGCCCTTGAGACTTTCTGGAGAATCTTTAACATGATCAATAATAAGAGCAAATCCACTCTCTCTTGTATGGTTCAGACTTATTAACCTCACCTAAAGACAAAGCTAAATTGTTTGCTAAGAACTTTTCATTAATATCATTACTTGATTACCCTAGTTGCGTTCTAACTGATATAGCCGTCAAACAGGTTGATCCATTGCTTGACATTCGTATCACCCCAGCTTCTGTATCAAAAGTGATTTCCTGCTTGACTCTTCTACAGCTTGCAGTCCAGACAACATACCTGTTGTATAGTCTTGCAGAAGTGTTCTCCGGAGCTGCCATCCATACTTTTAAAACTATTTAACATGTGCTTATCAGAGCCTTGTTTTCCAGTCTGCTGGAAAGCGGCATCTGTTATTCCTATTTTCAAACATTCTGGAGAGCGATCTGATTTATCTAACTACCATTCTATTAGTCTTCTTCCTATCGTAAGCAAAGTTTTTGAATCTTTAATTAACAAACACTTAATCTCTCATCTCGAATCTAATAACTTTCTGATCATCAATATGGATTTTGATTTTTTTCGTACTACAGCTGATTTGCTAACAGTAATAACCGTTAGGTTTTATTGTGCATTAGATAGAGGTGGAGAGGTTAAGACTATCGCTCTTGACATTTCTAAAGCTTTTAATATTGTTTGGCATGTTGGTCTTCTCTATAAAATTTCTTTTTATGGTGTATCTGATACCATCTTTAAGATTATTGAGTCCTTCCTTTCCAATCATAGTATAAAAGTTGTCCTCGATGGACAGCACTCTTTTTCATATCCTGTAACTTCAGAGGTTCCTTAAGGTTCAATCCTTGGCCCTATACTTTTTTTAATTTACATTAACGATCTTCCAGATATTCTCACATCTAAGGTGGCATTGTTTGCTGATGACACTATTATTTATTCTTGTCATTTTAAGAAGCCAACACTCTCTGATTGCTTGGAGGGGACATCTGAGCTTAAAAAGGATCTCACTTCTGCTACAGCATGGGGCTCACAGTGGCTGGTGAACTTTAATTCAGATAAAACACAATTTTTTTCAACTAATCGTTATCCCAATAAATTAGATTTTCCTATATTTATGAACGGTAATGTACTCGATGAGTCTTCAACCCTTCATCTTCTAGAATTAACTCTTACTTCTGATCTTTCTTGGAAACCATATATCAAATCCATTGCAAAATTAGCATCTGCTAGGGTTGCATCTCTTTATCGAGCTCAACACTTTCTTACTCCAGATTCTATTCTTTATCTCTTTAAATATCAAATCCATCCTTGTATGGAATACTGTTGCCATA